CCTGGGTTCGATTCCTCAGCACCACATAAAGAAAAAAGCCAGAAGTGGCACTGTGGCTCAAGTGGTAGAGCGTTAACCTTGAGCTGAAGAGCTGAGGGACAGCGCCCAGGCCCAGAGTTCAGGCCCCATGACTGGACCCCCCCCAAAAAAAAAGAATATCAAAGACAGGGCTGGGAAGGTGGCTCAGTGGTAGAGTGCTTGCCTTGTATGCCTGAGGCCCTCAGCACCACATAAGCAAAAAGAAAAAAGCCGGAAGTGGCGCTGTGGTAGAGTGCTAGCCTTGAGCTGAAGAACTGAGGGACAGCTCCCAGACCCAGAGTTCAGGCTCCACGACTGGAGCCCCCCCCAAAAAAAAGAATATCAAAGACATATTCTAGTTATGACAAATGAGGGAACCCATACAACCTACTTTTCTTTGGGTCTGGCTTACTTTGCTTAATATAATTTTTCCAGGTCTTCCCATTTCCTTACAAATGGGGCAATGTCATTCTTTCTGATAGAAGCATAGAACTCCACTGTGTACATATACCACATATTCTTGATCCATTCATCTACTGAGGGGCATCTGGGTCAGTTCCATATCTTAGCTATGGTAAATAATGCTGCAATGAACATGTTTGTGAGGGTAGGTTTATATAGCCTGAAGGAATAGGTCAAATACTAGGGCTCCTTGGCACAGGTCAAAATTTCCTTAATAATGACCCAGAATCACAACAAATCAAAGAAAGGATGGATAAATGGGGCTGCATTAAACTGCAGAGCTTCTGAATGGCAAAGGACATAGCTAGCAAGATAAATAGAAAGCCCACAGACGGGGAGAAGATCTTTACAAGCCAAACAACAAACAAGGGCCTCATATCTAAAATAAACTTACAGCTCAAAAAACTAAACTTCCCCCAAAAAATATCCTCAAAAACAACCATCCCCATTAACAAGTGGACTAAAGACTTAAAGAGAGACTTCTCTGAAGGAAATAAGAATGGCCAATAGATCCATGAAGAAATGTTCAACATCTTTAGCCATAAAAATATGCAAATCAAAACAACCTTGAGATTCCACCTCACCCCAGTTAGAATGGGCATTATCAAGAAATCTAATAACAACAGATGCTGACAAGGATGTGGCAAAGGGGAACACTACTACACTGTTGGTGGAAATGCAAACTTGTTCAGCCTCTCTAGAAAGCAGTATGAAGGTTCCTCAAAAGACTACACATAGAGATCCCCTATGACCCAGCAATCCCACTCTTGGGCATTTACCCAAATGACCACAAAAAAGGCTATTCAATTCTTTTAAGGAAAAAAATGGTCTGGGGATTGGTTTGGGGGGTTGGGATTTGTTTTGTTTTGTTTGTTTTGCAGTACTAGAGTTTGAGCTCAGGGCTTTACCCTTACTAGGTATGCACTCTATCACTTGAGCTTTACCTCCATTTCTAATATTCTGCTGGTTAATTGGAGAAAGGAATAATGATAATCTGAGAGACAGAAATCTCTCAGATTTGTCTGCCTTGGCTGGCACTGAGCCAAGATCTTCAGACCGCAGCCTCCTGAGTAGTCAGAATTACAGGTTACAGCAGCTGGCAACCAGCTGGATTTTGGATTGCTTGATGAAATGAAATAGAATCTCATTATATCTGATGGTTTAACAAAGCTAAAGATGTTTAATTTACTTTTAGCCACCTGTTCTTCATTTGAGAACTGTTTATTTTATTTGACCATTTATTGATTGGCTTATTTGTAGTTTTTGCTGTTTTATTCTTTGAGTTCTTTATATATTCTGGATATTAATCCCTTATCCAATAATATTTGGAAAAATTATCTCCACTCTGTATCTTTTCACTCTGTTAATTGCTTTATTAGCTGTTGAGAAGCTTTTTAATTTGAGAATCTCATTGTAAGTTTTTGCTACTATTTCCCAAACTATTGGAATCCTATTGAGAGAGTCATTGTTTATGCCTGCATTTCTTCATGGCCATTCTTATTTCCTCTTCTGAGAAGTCTCTAAGTCTTTAGTAGTTGTTTGAGGATTTGTTGTTGGATTAATTTTTTTAGTTCTAAGTATATTTTGAATATGAGGACCCTGTCTGTTGTATGGCTAATAATCCCTGGGCTTTCTGTTGATCTTGCTACCTATGTCTTTTGCCATGCAGAAGCTCTACAGTTTCATGAAATCCCATTTGTCCAACATTTCCTTGATTTGTTGTGTTTCTGGGTCTTTATTAAGAAAATTTCAACCTCTGCCAAGGAGCCTTAGAGTTTCTTCTATTCTTTCCTGTAATGTTTTCAGGGTGTCTGCTTTGACTCCAAGGTCTTTGATCCATTTGGACTAGATTCTGATGCAGAGTGATATATAAGATCTAGCTTTAGTCTTCTACAGGTGATTAACAAATTTTACCAGCACCATTTACTGAAGAGGCTGTCTTTTTTACCATTCTATTTTTTTAGCTACCTTATCAAAGATTAGATGGCTATAGGTCTGTGGGTTCATTTCTGAATCTTCAGTTCTATTCCATTGGTCCAGAGGTATGTGCCAGTACCAAGCTGTTTTGATTACTTTAGCTTTGTAGTAGATTTTGAAATTTGGTATTGATATTCCTCCAGCACTGTTTTGTCTGTTAACAATTGTTTTGCAAATTGGGTCTTTTATTGTTCCATATGAATTTTCGGATTGCTTCTTCTATGTCATTGAAGAATGAAGTTGGCATATTGATAGGTATTGTATTGAATTTGTAAATAGCTTTTAGCAATATTGCTATTTTCACAATGTTAATCTTCCCAATCCAGGAGCATGGGAGGTTTTTCCACTTCCTCAGTTCTGCTTTTATTTCCTTTTTCAGTTTTTAAAGTTTCCAACATAAAGATCCTTCACTTCTTTAGTTAACTCCTAGGTATTTTATTTTGTGTGGGGCTATTACAAAATGCTGACTTCAGCTGTGCTCTTCTCCTTTTACCAACAGAATAGCCATTGATTTTTGAGGGTTAATTTGTACCCTGTTACTTTGCCAAAGTGTCAGATCAGCTTGAGTAACTTTGGAGTGGAGTCTCTGGGGTTCTTTAAATACAAGATCATGTCATCTGCAAAGAGGAAGAGTTTTATTTCATCTTTCCCTATTTGGATCCCCTCTATGATTGCATCTTGTCTTATTGCTCTCGGTAGGCATTCTAATACTAAATTGAATTGTCAGAAATTTTATCATAAAAAGATGTTGATTTTTTCCCAGTGGTATTTCTGTATCTATTGTGATGGGTATATGACATTTTCCTGATTATTACATAATTTCATTGTGTCCTGGGGAGAGGAAAACAATCAGAAATTATAAGGAGGTAGTGTCTGCATATTTTTTAAATATGAGATAGAGTTACTATTTAGCCTAAGCTGATTTCAAACTTAGGATCCTCCTACCTCTGCCTCTTGAGTGGAAGATTACAGAATGTAGCACCACCTACAGAATGATTACACACTTTGAATGCACTAAATATCACCAAATTATATACTTTATAGTAGTTAATTGTATCTGATGTGAATTTCACCTCAATTTTTAAAATGGGTCATAATCTTATATTTAGATTAAGTGATAATTGTATAAATTAACTGTAGTACATCTAAGACTACTTTAATAACTTCCTAGACACATGTATTGCAGTGAGTTCAAGTGTTTCAAGCATCTTTTCAAAGTGTCATTTGATATTGATCTTCTCCATGTGCTCCATGCTTACTGCAGCAATTAGATATGGAAAGAAAAAGTGATCTCATATAATTCTTATAAAAATATATGCCAATCCATGGTATATGTTACAGATAAATATAGACAATTTGAAGCTATTCATGCATAAATTCTGGAAATTGTACATGGATTTTTCAACAGCATACATCTGGGGAGAAGGACCCAGATTTTAGGGTCAATTGTGTTTAATTGTTCTTTTAACAGAATTGAACACAATCCTTCACTTCCATTACAGTAAGAACATCAGCGCAGTTGTTTAGAAATGCTTATTTTGAGGTCACTGTGTGTGGCTCCTTGAACAGAATAGAGAAAATGCTAAAAGGACAATTACTGACTTTTAGCTGCATGGCCTGCTTTCTCGTGACACAAGGCATCAATTTAGTAACCCCATTGTCTTTTGGAGAATCAGCCTTCTCTAAAATACTTTAAGTAGTTTGGGTGAGGCTGATTCCAGACTTCCTAAAGATGTAAAAGTGCCCCAAACTTATACTAGTCAATAGATTGAACTTTTAGAAGTCAGCACAAAATTTGTTAATTCTGTTCAATAAAGTTCAAGTACAAAACTTTTGTTAAAAGCATTGAAAAGAGAGATGGACTCCATCATCATAAGCATTTGTAATTAAATAAGAGATGTTTAAAATTCCCTGGTGAAAGAGAGGGAGGGAAGGGGTGACATTGTCCAAAAGTAAATGCGCTCTTTACCTAATTCATATAACTGTAACCCCTCTGTACATAAGAATAAAACAATTTAACTCCCTTGTGAGGAAGCTATGGTGACACAGTTTAATGCACAATGGCCATGCACCATGGCTCTCCTCAAACTGTATTCTGGTTACTAGCATCTCTACCACCCCTAACAGATTGTCAACTCCCTGAGGAAAATGGACACAACTCTAGCAATGAGCACACAGAAACTACACTCCTAGATTTCACAGCACAGCATTGAAAACATGGGTTTCTCAGGCTCCTATACCTCTACCGGTCAAAACCACATCCTGCAGTCCCCACCTCATACTCTTGGATTCCTGCCTGGGCAGGAACAGGTGGCTGTCTCTGCATCCTCAGCTGTGGGTACCGATGTGGTCACTGTGTGATTCTCACACAACCACTCAGAAAGACATCATCAGGCAAAGAAAGGAGGGGCCAGGAGTAGGTGGACTTCATAGAAACCCTTCTACAATGAATCACATGGTCTCTGACCCTACTCCACTTACTTCCAATGCTAGAGGTTAAAAGTAAGCAATTTCCAGATGCAGTTCTAGAAGCTGTGGCCTGAGCAGCCTTCCTGGGAGGATGCAGCTTCTCCTGTTCCTGTTGGCCTTCTGTCTGCCCCCCACAGCAAAGACAGGTGAGTGACCACCCCACCTCAGAGGACCAAACTCATCCCATAACAGGCACAAATTTTTGTTTCTCCTGCGTACCGTGGATCCACCTATTACAAACACTCTGGATCTCAGCTCCAATACTACCATAGAAGCCCCAGTGTGACACTGGATGACCTATCAGCAAGAATGGGATGGGAGACACTGTTCTCTTAGTCTTCCTTAAGCCCCACCTTTATCACCTTGAAAGTAAGCTAAAGGGCATGACAGAGCATAGTGGGAATTTGGAAAGGAGGAAATAGGGAAATGTCCTGGAGAGGAGACACTATGTGTGGCTTCTGTGTCTGGAATGAGATGATTGCTCTTTTCAGCAACTGCTTCACAGGCAAACCCAGAGCTCAGTTACCCTAGAATTGGTCACTGTTTTGTTTTTGTTTTTTGTCTTTGCTCAATCCCAAGCAACTCATCCTTTTCTCTTTTTTTCTTTTTTTGGGTCCGGTAGTGGGGCCTGAACTCTGGGCCTGGGTGCTGTCCCTCCGCTCCTCAGCTCAAGGCTAGAGCTCTACCACTTGAGCCACAGCGCCACTTCTGGCTTTTTTGTTATGTGGTGCTGAGGAATCGAACCCAGGGCAACATGCCATGCAAGGCAAGCGCTCTACCACTGAGCCACCTTCCCAGCCCAAATCATCCTTTTCTCTACCTCTGTTCTTATTCCCAGTCCTCTGGTGACCTATTAACTTCCAAGTAGGACCTACTGTGTCTGACTCCCAATTCTCTGTTTTTCAGAATACCACCAGCACTGCCCTACCAATCTGATCAGGACACTAAGTGGAGCCATTCCCCAGTGAAGCCAGAAAACATTTATTGGGTCTTCACTGCATGTCAAGCCATGGGGATTAGGATATAATAACATCTGGATTTAAATTAAAGTCTTGGGCACTAGAAAGGAGCTCCATTTTAGACATTGCAGGACTCAGGAGGATCTTAGAAAATATCTTGAAGACAGAAAAGCAGGAGAGATTTATGAGGAGTCCTAGGGTTTTGAAAAAGTTATGCTCACTGCAGCTATACCTGGAAAAAGGGTTTATAGCCCAAGACTTGCTTTTCTTTCTTTTTCCAGAGGAGGAATGTGAAGTTTCTTGTCTAACCCCTTCCCAACTGCAGGTCATCTCAGCTTCCCAAATGATATGCAGGACAGGGCCATCAAGGTGAACTCAGAGGTACACATAATGAGACACACTTTTCTTCAGGGGATATCATCGGGGGACATGAGGCCAAGCCCCACTCCCGCCCTTACATGGCCTATGTTGAATACTTCTGTGGGGATTCTCTGTATCAGTGCGGTGGCTTCCTGATCCGAGAGGACTTCGTGATGACAGCTGCTCACTGTTTAGGGCGGTAAGGAATAGGAGAAAACCCCAGGCCTCCTGTAGATGCTCCTTGGAGAACCCACCTTCTTTCCAGGAAGCTCCCTGGGCTTCTGGAAATACATATGCAGAATATGAATTCTTTGAGGATAAGGAACAGGGCTAAGCCAGACCTCCTGGGAAAGGGCAGCAAATTGGTACCAGAAACATCTCTGAGAAGCCAAGCTTGTGATTCTTAGAGCTAGGTTGGTAATACAGTGGAAATTAAACTGATTGTGAAGTTGGACACTGGAGGCTCATGCCTGTAATCCTACCTACTTAGGAGATGAGGATTGTGAGATCTCAGGATTGTGGTCCAAAACCAGCCCAGGCAAGATAGGCAGTGAAACTCTTATCTCCAATAAACTACTAGAAAACTGGAAGTGGCACTGTAGCTCAGGTGGTAGTGCTTGCCTTGAACTGAAGAGCTGAGGGACAGCGCCCAAGCTCAGAGTTCAAGCCCCATGACAAAAAAAAATTGATTGTACTCTGGTACAGTTACCAATGGCTCCAGAAGTCTACTTCAACAGCTAAGAAGCAGTGAGGTTCAATCACTCCTCTCTCCTCCATTTTCCCTCAGCCACAGCCCAGCCCTCCTCTCTGTAGCCTACTCTTAATACTTCTTGGGCTGTATCTCCTCTGCTCCCCATCCCCTAACCACACTGTGCACTCTGTGCAGCTTCATAAATGTCACCCTCGGTGCCCACAACATCAAGGAACGGGAGAAGACCCAGCAGGTCATCCCTGTGAAAAAAGCCATCCCCCACCCAGGCTATAATCCTAAGAATTTCTCCAAAGATATCATGTTATTACAGGTAAGTCTTACCTCCTCGCTGCTTCTATCTCCTTCCTACAAGACAAGCCTCTCTTTCTAGGACATTCCCCATCCCTCCTTTCCTTTCTGATCATCATGATAATCTAGATCCAGAAGGCCATTGGTCAGCTGAACTCTCTTGCTTGTCTCCCATCAGCTGCAGAGAAAAGCCAAGCTGACTACAGCCGTGAAGCCCCTCAAGCTGCCCAAGGGCAGGTCCCATGTAAAGCCAGGACAGGTGTGCGAAGTGGCTGGCTGGGGACAGATGACCCCAAATGGCCAATGCTCAAACACACTGCAGGAGGTGGAGCTGACTGTGCAGGAAGACCAAAGGTGTGAGTCCCACTTAGAAAGTGACTACAACAGTGTCAGTCAGATCTGCGTGGGAGACCCAAAGATGAAAAGGTCTTTCTTTATGGTAAGATTTGATCGTCTATCTCTCCAGGCTCTGAGAAGATGGACTTTGGGGAAAATCCTGAACCTGGAGACCCAAAGGAGGAACTCTTTTGCATATCAAACTGTGATTTCTCACTGGGTAAAGAGGAGGGTTGTATTCCCCAAATCACAGGGACCTGTGCTTCTTACCAAGGGGTCTCTGTGAATACTGCCCCCTGGAGACAGGAGTTTATAGTATGATGCCCAATATCAGGGCACAGGCTGTGTTCCCTCAGTCTGAAGCAATTACATTCAGGTGGTTTCCCAGAACTAGCACTCACCTTTGGTCAGTTGGCCCATCCTCTCCCTGGTTCCATGTCCTTACACAGTGGCCTGGGGCCAGTTTATCTCACACATTCATAAGGACAGGATCTTACAGGAGATGATAGAGGCAGTCCTGAACCAGTAACAATATCATGGGCAGTACTTAGTAGCTTAGGGCTTGCAGGGACCTTCTCTGTTCTCTGATTTTCTACCATCAAACAGTATCAATCACTCATCTCTCAGAAGACTCTTGGGGTACCCTCTTGGGGTCCCACTTGGCATGGAGGCCAGAGCCAGAAGGATCACAAACTCAGTCCTCTTCCTTCTCTATTACAGGGAGACTCAGGAGGCCCCCTCGTGTGTAACAATGTAGCCCAAGGCATTATCTCCTATACAATACCTAATGGGACACCTCCACAAGTCTGCACCAAGATCTCAAAGTTCTCACATTGGATAAAGAAAAACATGAAACGCTACCAACCACAAGAGGCAGACTAACACGCATCCCCCCTCCCAATAACTGACCATCTTTCTTTGAGCTGAAGCTGGAATTGTACCAGGCAAGATGCCAACAACTAAATAAATGTCTCTTGGTTCAGTGTGAAAGCTGGTCTCTTATTCATTGGCCTTCATCCACAGGAACCAACTCTGGGCTAGCAGGCCAATGGCACAATTCAGTTGTCTATCATCCCCTCTTCCTTCATTCCTCCATACCTTCCCAAAGCCCTATGCAAAGCTATTACCCACCTCCTTCTCACCCACTGTCTCCCCAGGCTCTGCCTTCTGATTGGTGTTGAGCAATAAAAAAGATAAAGCTGAGAGAGCTGTTTCTGCAGGGTTCAAGGTGAATTCGTTACCTCCTACTGTATTTACATGGCAGAGGAAAAGGGACTAACACCAACAGTCCTGGAGGTCAAGCAGGCATGGCTGAGGTTCCTGCTGAAACACCCCACTGACCTGGGAATGAGCCATACTGAGCAAGGTATTTCCTTTCTGAAACATATGGCAAAAGTTGGGAAGGGTTCATTGAGCAGCTCCTCTTTCTCATGTAGAATTAGTTTCCTTTCCTGTCTTCCTCTGAGATCAGGGCCAAAAGCTTGGCATCCAGCTTCCCATCTCCTTTCTTCTCCATCTTTACTTAAGAATTTTGAGTCTATCAATACCTGTCTTCGCTAGTCCATGCTCATATGAGCAGCTCCTTTCCTATTACCACTTCTCTCTAGAACACTCAAAGTCCTGTAGGGTCTAATTATGCCCTCATCACTGGGGTACTAACCCCATTTATAATCTGTTTGAGAAGAACTTCACAAGAACCAGGCCAGTGTTGACACCATGCAGGACCCATGTTGGACAGGACTATCAGGGTTTCTCCAGAGCCCTTGACTTGGTCATTTCAGCAGAGTCAGTGCAGCTTCTCACATATGTCCCCCATATGTTCAGAGTCCTCTGGATATCTGCATATCTGATGCTCTTTCAGCATCCTGATTCTCTCAGTCACTGCTGGTCTCTAGGCTAAATCTCCTTGCTAGTCTCCTGGTCTGGATCAGTCTCTTAAGTACAAAGGAGCAGGAGAAATAGAAAATACAATTCATTTTCAACAATTAGTAAACATATAGTCATTGAGCAGTTACTAAGCACAACGTCTTGGGTTATAAAGTAAACACAATAAGAGACACAAATGAAACTGAGACATTGAAGCCTTTCCACATTGTTTAAGTCTGCCTCTAAGATTGGTCCACTCAGGCCTGGATCTAGGTGGGCATCCCATGGGAATGAAGTATTATCATCTTATGGTTATAGTTATTATAAATATTATCCTAAGACACTTGAAACATATCTAAGATTTAGAAATGACAATCATTTGTCTTTTTTGGGGGGTGGCGGGGACGGTCCGGTCATGGGGCCTGAACTCTGGGCCTGGGTGCTGTCCCTCAGCTCTTCAGCTCAAGGCTAATGCTATACCCCTTGAGCCACAGTGCCACTTCCAGCTTTTTTTCTTTTTGCTTATGTGGTGCTGGGGAATCGAACCCAGGGCCTCATGCGTGCAAGGCAAGTGCTCTACCACTGAGCCACCTTCCCATCCCTCATCTAGTCTTTAATGAGAAGTTGCTACCTAGCCATCACAGCATCCTTGTTACTTAAGGAAAAGAGCAGCAGATAGGGAAGAAGATAACTAAAGCAACTTTCTTTTATTTGTTTACATAAATGTTATTGTACTGATTCAAGTCAAAATAGATATATCTATCTATTTGGATGGTTCAGAAGCATAATTCTTGTCATTACTGCAACTTCTGCCTTTCCAGAATCAAAATTGAATCAACGGGGCAGGGGTTCTGAAGAAATGGAGAAACACCATTATGATTACTGCTATATACATAGTATCTGATTACCTGGACTTCTTATCTTTAGAAGTTCTCAGATTGGAGGCTACATGGTAGAGTGTGTGACTTTTTGTTACATAATGATATTTCCATATTGGGTTCACTTTACCAAGTATTCTTAGCGATCCTAGCTTCAAGGTCATATCATTACCTAACAGTTGAACATAATTTGTAGCTCTGGGTTAATGCCTTTTTCTCTTAAATATAAACAACACACACTGTTGTGAAATGGAGTAAGTCTTCCTTTGGAATCATGTAACTCTCAAAGGCATGTCCTTCTTCAGATTGGGCATAAATCAGGTTATAACACAATCTCATAATTATCTTGCACTTGTACAAGGGAAGAACAGTGGGTGTTACAAAGCGTTTGATTGGGAGCTGAAAAAAAATCCCTACATGTAACATATGCTAAGGATTTGGCTCCTTTACTGGAGAAAAAAAAAAGAGAAGTGCCAAAGCTAAACAAAAATAATATTTTTAAATGTTACAAAGTCACATGCAGATTCCATCAAATGTTGCATTTACCTTGAGGAAAGAGTTCTATGTTTTAAAATATTTTTAATTATCTTTAAGTAATTGTACAAAAGGGTTTCAATACAACATGTCAGCTATGAGTAGAATGCATCTTGATCAGTGTCACCTCTTTTGTTATTGCCCCTCACATCTATCTCAGCTTCAACTGTCCCCTCAAATTACCTGGTTCCATTTTCTCATAAGTACTTTGAATACTATGACTGCATTCACCCACCCTTCCTCTCTCCATTTGTCTGGCTCCCTCTCCTTGTCCTCACTGCTCCCCCACAACAATGTGTTAAACTTTAAGATAATTGTTCAAAGGAATTACACTATTGGAATCTTTCCCTGCATATATCATACATCAGTTATTCCCTAAATATGCCATAATTTATCACATTTGTGTAAATATGTTTATATATAGTTATAATTTAGATTTAACTTGCACATATTAGAGAAAATATGCATCCTTTGTCTCTCTGAACCTGACTACCTTCACTTAACATAATTTTTCCTGGGTCCATTGATTTCCCTGCAAATGACTTCTACAATATCATTCTTCCTGATGGATGAATAAATTTCCACTATGTGGGTGTGTGCATGTGTGTCTGTATGTGTATATCTGTGCATGTATGTATGTGTCTGTGTGTGTGTATATGTGTCTGTGTCTGTGTATTACTTGCAACTCAGACCATTACCTCTGGGTGTCTTTTCTATCAGTGTAATAGAAAAGCTGGGCCACACACAAAATCACCAACCTAAGATTGACAAGTTAGACAACTTTAATCAGACACATGGTGAAATATCACTGCCCAATAGCATAGCAAATCAATAATACAGAGTTTCACATAAAAAATTTAAAAAACAGAAAGGAGATATGAAATGCAATCTATCTTTAGAAAGAATGTAAAAGTACAGACAAGAATAAGGTGAAAGTATGAACATGGGTGTAGTCCCTTCCTGTGGTTCCATTGCTACCCATTCACTCTTCCCACTGTTTGCTCTTGTCTGACTTTTGCCTTTTCTAGTGATGGAGAAACTCTTAGCTCATTGGTTCTGAGGAAAAGTTAAAGACAATTTGCATTTCATGTCTCCGTTCTCTTTTTCTTTTTTCCAGCCACTAGGGAAATCAATATGGTGGGTCCTCAAAAAACAAAAACTAAAGATAGAACAGCCACACAATTCAGCAATACCATTGCTCAGTCTATACCCAAAAGATTGTTTTAAATTTTATTGTAAAGTGATGTACCTAGGGGTTACAGTTACATGATTCAGGTAATGAGTAAATGCCTTTTAAACAATGTCTCTCCTCCCTCATTCTAAGTACCCAAAAGACTTCAAATCAGTTTACTACAAAGTTAGTATACTATATTTTTATTGTAAACCCACGTTTATTGCAGGATCATTCATAGTAGCCAAGTTATGAAATCACTCCCAATCAATACATGAGTAGATAAAGAGTATATAAAGATATTATGTGCATATATATATATATATATATGCATCCTAAAACATCAAACAAGTAATAACTGAAAAAGGTGAATAACTGATAATTGTACCAAGGAACTCAGTCATTAGCATATTTAAGCATATATACCTTGAACATAATTGGGATGATGCTGTTTAGAACCCATGCTTTCCTTCTATGACTTTCCTTCTATCTTCACACTGGTGAGAGTACCAAGATAATTCATTTGCAATTTTTATGGAAAATGTCGTTGTGGGCCCCTTAGACACAGAGACTTGGCTCTCTGGATACTAAACAGTGATTACTTGCTGGATGAGTACTATTAGAGATTGATCATCCCATCACAGAGCAACCGCAACCAGTATTTCTTCAGAGGAAACCCCTTTGCTATTCACAGGCACTGTAACAGGGTAAGACAGACTCCACCTCAGTTCTGGAAGTGCTAAACAACTCGAGCATAAATCAATCAAGCCCACACTAGCAGGGTATAAAATGAGCCCTCATAAATCAATGGCTTGCTCTTTCCCAGCTCTCTCTCTCTCTTTCCCAGTTCTCTCTCTTTCCCTGCTTTTTCCCACCTCTTTCCCACCTCTTTCCCAACTCTTTTCCCTCTCTTTCCTAGCTCTTTCTCAACTCTCTTTCCAAGCTCTTTCCCAGCACTTTCCCAGCTCTATCCCAGCTTCTTTCCCAGGTCTTTCCCAGGCCTTTAAAATATAAATAATAAAAGAACAATAAAAATAAAAATAAATCAGTGGCTTTTCTGTATGCCAAAAATGAGAAAAGTGTGGCTGAAATTAGGAAAGCAACTCCATTCCTAATAGCCTCACAAAAAATAAAATACCTAGGAATTAAATTAACCAAAGAAGTGAAGGACCTCCATGATGAAAACTTTAAAAACCTAAAAAAGGAAATCAAAACAGAACTTAGAAACTGATAAAACCACTGGGAACTGGTGGCTCATGCCTGTAGTCCTAACTACTCAGGAGGCTGAGATCTGAGGATCACGATTCAAAACCAGCCTGGGCAGGAAAGTCTGTGAGACTCTTATTTCCAATAAACCACTAGAAAACAGGAAGTGGCACTGTGGCTCAAATGGTAGAGGGCTCGCATTGAGCTGAAGAGCTGAGGGACAGTGTCCAAGCCTAGAGTTCAAGCCACACAACCAACAACAAAAAAAAAAAATAAATAATCTCACAGAAAGTGGCAAAACCTCCAATGCTCCTAGATTGGA